TACTTCACAGGCTTGGAAACTGAGAGTAAAGTCACATGAGTATGAATTTAGACAGATGGTTTTATAAGAGACTTTGAGATATGCCAAGCGAAATTATACCTAAGAGATGAAAGTAAAGGAGCTGAATATTAGAAAATTTTAAAATAAAAATACCCATGGCTTTCTATATGGGTTAACATCAAAATATAGAAATTTCCAAAGAAAAGGGGCTTTTACTCTATGTACATCTACAGTCACATGAGATACAGGTTCGGATTTATAACATACATGTATATAAGATTTACTATTGATTAATTTGTATAATGTTAATATAGAATTTATAAGAAAGCCATTTTTTGAACACCCAATCCTAATTTGAGTAAAATTAGAATTTTTTTAAATGAGAAATATATAGAAAGAAATATATTTCAAAAATTGTTTCCACAAACTTGAGAAAAGTAATAGGTGATATAGTTATTTACAAAATATGTTTTGTAGAAAAATGGTCCACAGGTTGCATGTTAAGAATAAAGCAGTAACAAGAGAGGAAATCCAAATTTGGCCAGTTTGTTAACTATTTTTATTACCTTTAGTGCTCTGCTTCAAATCCAGAGTACCAAAATGAAAAACTTTTATACAAGTGTGTTAGTAACTAAACATCTTGAGCACTGCCCAGTAAGCAGAATATGCCACAAAAAAATGTTTTATGGATTGAAATAAATAAATCCCCTGTATTACCTACTTATAAATAGTTCCTGATTCTAAAATGGCAATGGCATCAATGAAAGAAAATCCTGTAAAGTCATCAATAAAGGAAAGTTTTTATAGTTTTTATGAAAACAAATAAAGAAAAAATTCAACTTTACAGAAAATTAGAATACTTATTAACAAAATAAAAGCTGTACAATTATAACAAAAGGGTTAGTTTTGCATTTTATATTGTTAATTTACATATTTGGCCTTCAGTGTATATTTATTAAGTCTTGGACAAGAATATTACATCATTTTGATATTCTTAGTCCAAGACTAAAATACACTAATATTACTTAGATATTAAGTAGTTAGTCCAACTATTTAAGCTTAAGTTTCCTATAATTAGAAAAAACTGATACCACAGACTTATCTGTATCCTATATTTAATTTTTGGTAATTTAAAAATTCCATAATAACAAAAAATGTACACCAATGAGAAACTAACACTATAAATTAACATCAATGCACAAATATGTGGTGATAGGAGAGTGTAGCCTAGCATAAAGAAACAGTGAGTTTAATTATATATTTCAAATGTCAATTAATATTGCCTATTCCACTAAATTTAGACTACGGGAGGACATCAGCAATGTTTTTGGAAATCCAGAAAGCTCTAGAAAACTTGGCATTTGTTTGGGAAAGTAGAAGACAAAATTATTTTTGATGCTATGAGCTCTATCATTGTTTTCCTCAGCACATGCCTTTGAAAAACTCCTCATTTTAGTTAAAGTTCATAATATTAAAACCATTTTTCCATACACCTGATGTAACTGAATAATATTAATATGTCTATTACTTCTTTTTTTCTTCCTTACCTGCGGATATTTTTAGAGATAGTGGAAGACAGCGGAAAAGACAGAGAAACAAGGATGTGAGAGAGACACATCAATTGGTTGCCTCCTACACCAGCCCTGACCAGGGCCCAGGCCAGAGAAGAACCTGTAACCTAGGTACATACCCTTGACCTGAATCAAACCTGGGACATCTTCAGTCCGCAGGCCAATGCTCTATCCACTGAGCCGGCAAGGGTGCATATTACTTCTTGATACATTAACTAAATTTTTATGTATTATATTTTGAATGTATTTTAATTAACCTATCCCATTAGTGTTCTTATTTTGAAAAATAAGGAGCACATTTACTCAGCATTTAATATTTCTGCTTTTATAGCCACTAGTTCTTCAGCTAATGATGATTCAAATATTCTGTCTAATAGAGTCAATAGCTTTTTAATATTAAAAAGATTTAAAATGTTTAAGAGTTACTGATGTTTAAGATTTAGGACCATAATGATTCTCAGCATACAAATTAACTTCGGTATCTATTCTAACATCATTGTTTTCTTAAAAATTATCATCTTTTGAATGATTTAAAGTGGTAGGCAGCATATTACATATAAAAAGTCCAAGCTTAAAATGACACAAATATATAATTAATTTCTCTACAAATATATGTAAATAAAGTTACTTGTGATAAACAAAACAGAAATGGACGCATGGATGTGGATCACACTGACAGCAGTCAGAGGGGAGTGGATGGAAGTGGGAGAGAAGGAATTAGTCAAAGAACATATATGTATGACACATAGACACAGACAACAGTGTGGTGATGGCCAGATGAGTGGAGGCGGGGTGAAAGGGGAGATGGGGAATGGGGTAATCTGTAATAATATCAACAATAAAAATAAAGCTAATAAAATCATCTGTTTAATACAGATATGTATAGTAAGAAGGTTATAGGGCTAGTAGTATAAGGCACATGATAAATGAAGTCATGAAAAAAAACAATACTTAATTTAGTAGAATCTATCAACCTAGAAAACCTATGAATATTTATTCTTAATTCAGTATAATGAATAATAGATAAGAGTGTGTATAAGAGAAAGAGCAACAGATAACAAAATACTAGTGTAAGAGTATCAATGTCTATTATAGTTTCCACAATTACATAACTATATTTGAAATCATAAGATGAACTTAATAGTAATTTCGCATTGCTAAGGGGAATGTTAAAAAATTACTTTTACTTTATGAAATATACATTAAAATATTGGAAAATGCAGGGACATGGCCAGTCTTTATTCTGACAGGGGAAAAAAATAAGTTTGATGGATAAGAAGAACCATTAGTGACATAGAATGATTTTGTATATGTCTTGGTTAGAACATTCTAATGTTTCATATAAATGTACATTCTAAAGGCTATGTAATTCCACCTTTTGCCTTCCTAGTAATCCTTAAAGAGTGTAATATTTAGTTGTTATAAATTTTCATCACTGTCTGTTAGAATCTTCTAGTAATTTAGTTCAGATCTGTATGCACATATAAACTACAGTATGCTGAAAGCAAATGTAATACATACTCAGGTGACTCTAAGGAGTTTATAGTCTAGTACTGGAAGCAGACCAAAGAAGAAATAACTTCAACAACAGGGCAAATGTTGTAATTTTTTTCTGTTGGGCACACAGAATAACCAGAAGTGGCGTCCCTAGATCAATCTAGTATGGTATTTCAGGAAAGAGTCCATGGTGGCAAAGTATAAAAAATAATATATAATAACAAGGTAGATAGATAGATATTGGATACATAAACAGATAAAACTTATTACTCACAAAAACATAGTTATAAGAATTATAGGTCAACCTAACTTGAACCATCAGGTTGATGGAAGCTCTCCACTATAAAGTCCAGTGAGATTTATTTTTTCAGTCATGTCATGGGTCATAACTTTAGTGGTGATCTCCTCATTACCAGCTCTGCCTGGGCTTTTATATTTCTCCCTCAGCCCTTCTCCACCAGTGTTCCACAAGAGAATTAAGCCCTAATATCCTAACATACATTGCATATCATAAGTTAACTTCTCTCTAATACATTTCAATGAATGTAGTCATATGGCATCCAGGGGAAAATTGAGAAATTTTCAGTGGGGCTTTATTCTTTTGAAGAATTATAGTGGAGAGTGGCTGCTTAACCCAAACAATGAATTATTATATTTAAATATCATTAATTTTATTAAGTAGTTAATAGAATTAACTAGTCTATTATTTATATTTTCTCACTAAGTTGATATTCATATGTCTACAAATAAGGTTTTTTATTAAGTATAAAAGGTATAGGTCAACATATACACAAGGCATAATGTATATAATAGTTTCATTTATTGTTAAGAAAGAACTTGTGGAAACATTAGTAATAGACAATTAGAGACCTTTTGGCCCACAGATGCATTACATCTAGTTTGCCTACTTTAGTAATAATACTTGATATCAAATTTCAAAGCAAATCATTAGAAAGTTTCCTTAATGCTGCTGTCTCTCAACTGGCCTAGATATTGGCATGTTAACACCTGGAAAAATATTATCATTTTCTTGTTGACATTCCATGTTACAGATGGTCAAGTTTTTAGAAATATTGTATTATTTCTCCCTAAAGACTCAGCAAATATGTTTTAATATTGAATGAAAAATATTTTATGTAAACAGTCTTACTTTTTGTGCATAGTCTTTTTGAAGAGAAAAATTTGCTCCACCTTAAATTAGATTTTCTCCAATCCCTTCTTTCTGATTAATCATTTAAGTGCCCAATTTTGTTTATTTTTCTTTTTCATAGCTGATTGTGCTTTTTCTATATTGTATTCCAGACAAAGTAATACTTTAGCTCTCATGGCTCAGTTGGTTGGAGCATTGTTCTATACACCAAAAGATTGCAGGTTCAATTCCTGGACAAGCGCATATAAGAGATAATTTATCAATGTTGCATTTTTTCTCTCTCTCTCTCTCTCTCTCTCTCTCTCTCTCTCTCTCTCTCTCTCTTTCTTCCTCCTTCTGCTGTCTCTCTCACTCTCCTCTTCTTTCTCTCTAAACATATCCTCAGGGAGGATTAAAAATAATTATTTCCATAATTATCATATGTATATTGCTATTGCTCTATTATGCTAAGTAAAATGACAAGTGGCCCTAAGGGCATTGAGAAAGACAAACAGACCTATGGTACTCAGAGATAACTAAACAAATAGTCTCTCTCTCTCCTTTTTTTTTTTTTTAATGTACCAGAAAATAAATTAACACCCACCTGTTGGATAAGAGAAAAGTAGCAGGTCTTCATTCATATCCCCTTTTTGTTGAGTATGCTTAATATATGCTTAATTCTGTAGGATTTCAAACTGTTTGTATGCCATCTTTTTATGTGAAGTAAAAATATAGCTCATTGTGTGATGAAAATCTAGTTCACATGTTGAGCAGGAAAAATAGGGCACATAATCATACGTTACCTTTATCAATATGCATTCTTTTCGACTCATGTCCGATGTCATGACCGGCCAAATCTCCCTCTTTGGGCCCAGGTAGTACGTTTGGAGATAAACCCATCAGCATCTGGTTCATGGACAGCCCATTCTGATGAACAGCTGTCAAGCCCAAAACAAAACAAAACACACCATAATATACAATGATAAACTTACAGACACCCCTCCCAAATTTATAATGGTTATATATTGGTCTAACTTTAAAATTATAATCTATTATAAGAATACTGTAAGAATGGATAACTATGGTAAATCTTGAGAATAAGCAGAAAAATAATAAAAAAAATAATAAAAAAACACAAATTTATCTGTAGTGTATCATATGCTCTCTCCAGGATATGTTTCCTTTACTCTGCAAGAAACTCAGTCTAAACATTAGAATGCTCTTTAACACTACGAAGTTAAAATACAATTTTTAAAAATGTAGTGGCATCAGAGAGCAAATAGAGTTTTCACCAAGGTAAGGCATTGAAATAACTGTGCTTATTTATACTCTAGTAAAAAAAAAATAAAAAAACAACACAAAAACAAAACAAACAAACAAACAACCACAAGGTTTGATAGCAAAGTACTTCCTTAAAAAATGGGTTTGAGCTCAAATTCTAAAATAAAGTGCCACTTAATTAATATCTATTAAATGGTTAAATTATTTAAAACAATAATTGCTTTCCTGAATTATTATACTATCGCTATTGAAATAGTAGGTAGATGATAAAACACCCTTATGATTTTCAAAATCCAGTCAACAAATTTCTTAATAAATTATCCATGAAAATCTTGATTTTGCCCAAAACTTTGGAAGAAGGAAGAATCATTCCATACAACCTCAGTTTCTCTGGAAAAAAATGTTTTTAACATATCACAATATTATTTTAGAAATTACCATTTAAAGTGACCATAGCAATAATTGTTTCAGGGGAGAATCTTTAAGGGGGGATTCTAAAACTAGTAAAGTGAATTTTTTATGAATAAATTAATAACATAATCTTAAGATATGAGGAGTCAAAGCATACTTATTATTTTCAAAAACTTAAACAAAAGAAACCTTACATTAGAGAAATCTGGTGGTCACCATCCTAACCTAGTTATCACAAATATTGGAGAAATACCATATGTCTCCTGAAACAATGCACTAAGGACACACTAGCATGTCTGAATGTCCCCAGCCAAAATTGCATAACTTAAATCATGAGGAAGCATCAAAAAAATTCCAAACTGAGAGATATTTTACCAAATAAGTGACCTGCATGCTTCAAAAATGTCCAGGTATTGAAAGACAAAAAGAATGGGAAACTACTTCAATTAATGAAACTAAAAGAATGAATATGACAAGTAGTTGCAGCATGTAATGCTGGATTGGTTTTGGGACCAGGAAAAAAAAATCTTATTAAAAACAGTTAAGGGAAAAAATATTAGCAGTAAAGTTGGTAAAATTAGAATAACATTTGTAGTTCAGAAAACAATACTATAATAATCTTAATTTCCTGATTTTGATCATTGTTCTATGATTATGTAAGAGAAATCCCTTGTTTGTAGAAAATAACCGATGAAGTACTTATGGTAAAGAAGCTGATATCTATGATAAGGGCACTAAGATGGCACTATGCCTTTAATCAGGGTCTCCCCTTCAGAGGGATCAGCTGATTGGGTAAAGCTGGGTGGTGTGTATGTAAGAATTCTTTGTATTATTTTAAAAATTTTTATGTTAGTCTAAAATAAATTTATAAATGTCAAACTAAACACACACATAAATGGGCATATATATGTCTATATGTGTGCATGCATATATAGTTGTCTGTGCATGTTTCTATATTATTTACATTTGAACAATTGTGATAGTCTACACATGAAAAAAATTATCTTGTTTTCATCAAGAATAAAAAATATAATGATTAATAAAAAACATGAATGTATAATAAAATTCAAATTTGTCCATATTTCCATTTAAGTATTATGAAAAAACATTATTCTTTCTTTAGGACAATACCTTTCCAATGACAATATTTTATTAAAATTATAAATAAAGCAAAATAATCTTCACTAAATTTTTGGTTTTAGTGTCAACATAGCATAAAACCAGACAGAATGCATTTTATTTGAAAAATGCTTTCAAGTAGTGGTGGTTGGGGTTTACCGGCTCCAGGAATAATGGTCTGGGAATGATTATTAAAAAATAGCTGCAAATCACTTTTACAAAATTAGGGAAAAATGTTATTCATATTTAGAACTGTTTTGCATCATATAATTTTAAAAAATAATGTTATTGCATACAAATCAACCTAACATTTAACTTATCCACTTCATTACTATTCATATTGAGGATTTCTGCTATATGCAAGTATTCCTGTATAACTTAAAATGATACTTTTTTAGGAAATGATTTTTCTATTGTGAAAATGTTCTCAACAACCGTAACTCCAATAAATTTTGTGTGATTAGGTGAAGTTTATAAATTATAGCCATAATTTCTGGAAATAATACCTAATTCAAGGAAGGATACAATGAAGACTGATTTATCAACAAAAAGAGTAAGTGTTAATATGTGGTGTTGTTTTGTTTTTTAAATAAAACAATATTTGATTCTTGTATAGGATTATACTAAGCAGTTAACTTAGTGGCATTTTAACTGTACTCTCAATTTTCTTGGCCAATAGGATCAAGATTAAATATCTGAAAATATAATCATGAAATAAAATATAAGCCTACTTTTAGAATTTAATAGTAAGAATACATGACAATAATATGTATTATTGATTGTTACTAATTCAAATTCTATAATTCACCAATTTCAAGCCTTTTAATTTATTCACTATTTGAATGACTAATAAATATTTTAATCCCATTACTTTGAAATCTATTCTTTGTTCCTTTGTGGCTATTTTTGTCTTTTAAAGAACTAATCTTAAAAATTAGTGAATTTCAAAAATGTCACGAGTAGGATTGAAAGAAAAGAGAAGAAAGAAGATGAATAGTCCATAAGCAGCATACTTAGACACTAGATATTTGAAGTTGGAGGTGTTTACTTCAGAAACTAATCTAGAAGGTTACTTACTTTCTCTAAGTGTTTCATAGCTCAAATCTTTATGTGTGGCATCAAGGAGAGGGAGTTTATATCAGAGCCTGTTAATGTGGTACCATACCTCATGGTATTGCAAACTGGGAAACATAATTTTGAGAGATGGCTATTGCTACAGAGCTTCAGAACATGATACATCTGAGATCTATTTGGAATGAGGGCATTTTGATTAGAAAAGCCAGCTGCACCTAATAAAGTTGAAAACGGTGACAAGTAAAAGTATGAGACCTACGGATTCTGTCGGAAGAGCTCTCAGTCCGTGCAGGGGAGCTGGACACACTGCTGCTGCGATGTGATGATGGGTGACTGCCAGGCCTTCGGCCCTCCTCCAGCGAGGGGGCAGGGGATGGGCTGTCCGGAACACGCTCCTACACCACCATGGGAAGGGAGGGGGAGGAAACAGGTAAATACATTGACCTTTACTTAAGGAATGTTGATTTTTCTCAGTAATATAGAAGCATGAAGGCAATAAACACATCTTTTCATCCCCATTTAGCTGTATTAAAAGACACCTTTTATCCTGAGCAAAGTCAAAGCAGGGAAACTCTAGAAAGAAAATTGTTTCTATAGGCAAATAATGTCAGTCCCCCCTTTGGATTAAAAGGGAGACCAAAAAGAAACAGTTTAGAACCTATTAGATATCAAAGAATTAATAGAATAAAGCAGGTTTCAATTCTAGAGAATTACCAACTTAAAGAAATCTTTAAATGTGTTCTATTGCTTCAGCAAATGTCTAAGGATCACTTAGCACACAAATTATCAACATTATAGAGAGACCATGATAATAAGACCAGAGGTGTTGTTAATAGCTATTCCATCACAGCCGTGCTCTAAACACACCTGGATAGTCACACTTAAGGGCATCATAGAAATCAGTTTTTTAATATTGGAATAATTTTATTTGATCCTAACAAATCTGAGACTACCTGCTACTCCTAGCAATTCAAACATATTTTAATGTGGTAATGGAAATTTCATGGAATATATAAATATATTAGTTGTGTCTCAGGGTAACTTGATATCACGTTTCTGATACTATTCTACAGGTTCCTCTCCATATCTCCCCCTCTGAGCCAGACTAACATGTAAATACACAGCAAACTCTCGCCAATAAGCTATTATACATAGAGTTACAGATTAAGAAATAAGGCATTTGTTGAAATTTCCTTTTTTGAACAAGATATTTATACCATTATATATCAATACACATAGGCCTTGAAGAACTGTCTTTCAATAAGAAATACAAATTTGAAATGGTACAAGTAAACTTCTACAGGATATGTAATAAATAATAAATAATTCTTAATTGGGGTGTAATGAAGTAGATATTTAAAAAAGAATTTTAAATATTTAAAAGAAAAAAGTTCTAAAATGTATTCGTTCTATAGGAGGCCATTGTGAAGCTATGAATGGCTAATGTTTTATGAAAAACAAAAACTAAATTCAAGGCTATGAACTACCAGTGAGAAAGAGGGTAATTCATGTTCTTGGTCTCAGAGGTTCCATTAGCCCAGGGTATTCTGCAATCCTCCTTTACATTAAATCACCTGGGAAGTTCTTAAACATGACTATGCCTGGGCTTTACACACAGAAATTCTGGCTTAATGAGTGTTGCTATTGAACTGTGTCCCCAGAAAAGATTGAATGTGGCTTCATTTAGAAATAGAGTCATTGCAGATGTAATTGGTTAAAATGATGTCACAGTAAAGTAGAGTGGGCTCTTATTTCAACATGACTGTGGTCCTTACAAGAAGACATTGTTAAGATATGAGGGGAAAATGTCATGTGATGATAGAGGTTAAGACTGGAGTTATGCAGCTGCAAGCCAAGGAATCATCAAGATTGCATCCACCGCTGGAAGATATTGGAGAGTCAAGGAAGGATATTACCTAGAATCACAGAAGCAGCATGCTGCTGCTGACATCTTGATTTCAGATTCTGACACTAGAAATGTGAGAGTATGTAGTTATGCTGATTTAAACCGCTCACTTTGTAGTACTTCGTTATAGCAGCTGTATTACAATGAATCTGAAGTCGAATCCAGACATCAGTATTTTTTAAGTCTCTTCAGGTGATTTTAATGGTCATCCAAGATTGAGTACCACTTACTTCATAACCTTTTATTTTTTTTCAGTTCTGGGAACATTGTCAATAAATAGATATGCTGAGGCTTAACTTTTGAGGAGCATGACAAACGAATAAAAATAATAAAAAAAATGGTCACGCTCTTATCCAAAATTTATGCACAAAATGACCCCCCATTATATATTTTTATGGAATAAACAATAACCCATGAAGTAAGAAACTTCATGAAAAAAGATTTGCAAGATCAAACAATAGTATATATAACCAAAAAAGGAAACAACTATATTCTACTCTCAAAAGTTGCAATGCATATTAGAATCTGTTTTAAAGATAACTTCTTGAAATTTAGACACTTTTGGACAGGTCAAAATGTGTGGATTTGTTTCTGTAATGGATAATTAATTAAAATCTCCCAAAGAACAGATGTTATGAATATTATGCTATAATACTAGTGCTTTCCCTTAATTTATCAGAGGTTAAGAATTAAATGCTATATTTTCTTCAAATTTGAATTTGGCTTTTATGAAGGTAAATGTGAACATCATACAATACATTTTTCTACCCACATAATATAGATTGCATTTGAAAGACTGAAAATGAGTAAGAGACAGAGGTGGAACAGGAAATATGGAAAGAGGAAGACACATACATACTTCCCAAATGTTAAAAATTTTAAATTAACTTGTTCAAAAAGATTTATGGATTTATAAAAACTATAGTGTGACTCTTATAGTCTGTATTAAGATATTAAAAATCTATCATATCCTCTATAATAAAAGCCTAATATGCAAATCGACCAAACAGTGGAACAATTAGGTGGAATGACCTGTCTCGCCTGTGGGCTAGGGGCAGCTCCTGCATTGAGCATTTGCTCACTGTGGTCAGTGTGCATCATAGAGACCAGTCATGAGATAGGTCTGTGATGCTCAATGCAGGAGCTGCCCCTATCCCACAGGCCCCAGGTTAGCCAAGGTGGGTGCCTGTGAGTGCCCCGATCGCCCTGCTGGTTGCCTTACAGATTGGCTCTAATCACTAGGCAGGCCCACAGATCCTACTCATGCATGAATTTTGTGCACTGGTACTCTAGTCTATAGATAACTGTATACATGATTAGAGATATTCTATAAATAATATAATCTTGATATCTATAAATTCTAATAAAAAGAACAAGTAAAACTAATACAAAATAATATTAAATATAAACTGTAATTGAAAAAAACTAAAAAAAAATATATAAAAAAACAAAACTAGAAGATGTAAGTTTGTCTATTCTTTAAAACTAATTTCTAATACATCTAACTCAACACTTGCATTGTATAGAAACACCTGGCATGTATTCAAGAAAGAACATTGCTATACTTTTATATAAACACAATTTTCTAATGCTGGCTGGGTGGCACAGTTGGTCGGAGTGTTGTCTCATACACCAAAAGGCTGTACGTTTGATTCCCAGTCAGGGTACATAGCTAGGTAGTGGGTTTGACCCTCTGTTGGTAATATATTGGAGGCAACCAATCAAAGTGTCTCACATCAATGTTTCTCTCTAAACAAATCTTCAGGTGAGGATTAAAAAAATAAATGAAATAAATTTTAAAAAGTAAAAATAAATTAAATTAAATTTTCTAAATTAACTTTTCCATTTTATTCAATAGGTCACCCACAGATAAGTTTATTCATAAGTCCATTTTAATATTTATCTTAATGATTATGTAAGTGATCATAATTTCAGTGTCTCAGGTTTGGTTGAATAAACGTAAAGTGCAATCTGGAAAAAAATCTATCCTTCTAAAATCATTTTGCAAGTCTGAGTTTCCTGTCATAATAGATTTCATAATAGTCCTAATGGAAAACATGAGAAACTGATTGAGTATTTAACTCATAAAGTACTTAAATATTTAATGCATAACACTCTAGAAACAATGTTTACACCATTAAAACAAATTATATTTTTATTTTCCCCACATAAGTATAAAAGTATTTAATAGTCAATATATTTCATTGTCAAAGTTTACTCTAATAGTTCTTTTCATTTATGCATTATTCACTCTCACATTTACACAGACAAAATACTCTAAAGATCACAATAATTAAAAAAATAAACTAGATTAAAATGTTAATATAAAATATGCTGTAAAGGCATAATTTTAGGCTTACATAGGGAATATGTAAAATTATAATATTTAATTTAGCTTTAGCTTATTTTTCCTTTATATTTTTTGTCAATGAACAAAGGATACAAGGAGAATACTTAATACTTTTGTTGCAAGAACATATTTTAATTCATGCAAATTTTTATTATGTAAAAGCTTAAGTATTCAATTGAAACTTTCTATAAATCGAGATTCAACATATTCAGTCATTTCACTTAATGTATAATTTCAATCTTTAGAACATGATGTATGTTCTTTGAAGAATTTCATTAAAGTAAAATCCATTGAGCAAGTATAATTTTAATACATTGTTGTACAATAAATTAATTTATTTCAACAGCTTAATTCTTTTATCATGTTTATATGCTTTCCTTTCCTGAGTTTGCTGTGAGATGGAGAATAAGGGAGACATTAAAGGATTGCTTAGGAGAGAATCTTAAAATGATTACTAAAACAAAACAGATAATGAGTTTTATTCAGACATAAGAAAGAAGCCGTTCCATGTCTGTAGGGAAACTATGTAAACTGGTAATGTCATTTCATTTGTGTAATAACCTTTAACCTCCAAGATGGGACTGAAGTAGGACAAAGAGGAAGAATATTTAATTTAATACTTCAACACACTGTTTTATAGTCTTGCATCACAAATCCACCAATCAATAAAGCACAATCTTTTGCAATCTTCCATCTTTATAAAAGAAGCCACAATAATAAATGAAAATTTAAGAGGAATACTCTCTCACGGTAAGAAAAAAAAGAGGTCATACTAATAAACTAATGCTGACAGAATAACAAGAAAGGAAAGGCTGCATTTATTGCCTCTAGGTAGAATAAGAAGTATTGGTCTCTAGGATAATTCAGAATCAAAGGTTGAATTCAAAAAGATGTATTATAAAATAAAAAAGTATATAATGTTCAGTATTATATTCATGTGATTAACTAAACATTTAAAAAATTACATTGTCTAAATGCCTCCTATTCACCACAAACTGCATTATATTTTATCAGCTGAAATATCTTCTCAGAATAAGTCTAAACACAGCTCATTTCCCTAAAGAATTATTTTCATTTAGCTTTACTTTGTCTTTCTCTTTTTAATTATTTTCATTTTCATCTATCAGTTAAATATTCTGACACTAAGTATGCTATAGATGTGAGGAGAAGATATTTCTATCCTTAAATGTTCTCTTGATATAACTTTTACTTACAAAATTGAAGTTGGCCAGCACTTTGCATAACCTAAACACCTGAACTTTAATACAACTCAGACTTAGGTAAAAAAATATAGACTGGACACATAATATGCTCCAGTGTAAACTAGGTTCTGCCTATGTATAAATAAACAAAACTGAGGAAAGTCCTGTCCCCCATGCAGCATGTATCATAAACTAGTATATGTTGTTAATGAAGTCCAAAATCATATACACTGCTTAAGTGTGGCATCCAAATTCCTTGTTCTGGGAACATAAACAGAGAAGATAAATGGTAGAATTGGGATTCTGGATTTAGGAAAATGTTAAAAGGACTTCTTGAAGACATAGTAAATGGTGTTAATAAACTTGTATCTGATACAGGCTAAGGAAACCACCATGGAAACTCCATAATTCAAAACTCTAAACTGTTGCCTCGAGAGATTTTTGCATAGCCCTTTGTATTTGTTTTGATAATAACACTTAAGAAATACTCAGTTTTGTAAATGTAAAAGTGCTAGGACCCATAAGTATAATCATAACCAACTTAATTTTATTTTCCTGTTATCTCTTCAAACTTATTCAATGGTGGAAGACGCAATATTTTCCACAGGCCACTTCAAAATTTCCCAGGTTACTATTTGGCAATACAATAAGTACAGTTACTTTACCTAGTCACACACAGTTTTGACTCAAATTATAATTCACCTCTATGTAATAATAAACACGAACATCTTGATTAAAAGAAGACATTTGCTGAAACCGGTTTGGCTCAGTGGATAGAGCATCGGTGTGGACTGAAAGGTCTCAGGTTCGATTCCTGCCAAGGGCATGTATATTGGTTGCAGGCACATCTCCGGTAGGGAGTGTGCAGGAGGCAGCTGGTAGATGTTTCTCTCTCATCGACATTTCTAGCTCTCTATCCCTCTCTCTTCTTCTCTGTGGAAAGTCAATAAAATATATATATTTTAAAAAGACATTTTTCCTTTACAACACTGAAGGAAGGGAGCATACAGGGCGGGAAGCAAGGAGGGCAAGTTAAATTTGATGTGGCCAATGCTGCCATTATTTGGCATTACTCTCTCTGGGCACAGCTCATGTTTGAAGCCAACTTTTTATCTATTGAAGGCACTGTGCTTGTTCTTAGAGGCCACCGCCAATAAATCGAATTGAGTCTAAGTTCTTCTGCCCCTGAATTTTCTACATAGTTATAACCGGATGCTTAATTCAAGTGGGCATGGGGGCAAGATGCCCCCATTTATTTAAAGATGGCATTTCCACCAGAAGCACATCATGTCTGCTTAATTTCATTTTATGATGCCAGCCATCCCTGATGACCATGGGCTAGACTCACCACTTCATGAGGACTTGCAATTTGGTCATACTCAATATATAATTTCTTACTCATTTATTATAGTTGTTAGAAGACATAGACAAACATAAATTTCCTTATAAAATTATTTGGTTATCCTGAGGTACAGTTTATATGGGAAACACTTAACTCCACCACCCTCTATGTATTCCCTACAATTATCTAAAGATGAACAATGAGTTTATATTTTAGTATTGTTACAAGCTTGTGGATTTAAATGTATGAGATCTGTTTAAATACAGAGATGTACGGTATCCTTAGTGGTGGTTGTGTTTGAATATTTTCTTTTCCTTACTATTGTCCCTTTTCCATATTTAATATCAATACTCAAACATTAAAATAAAACACATTAACTACTTTTCTAAATCCAGGTATAAATTATATGAAATCTATTTTCATGAGAAAAACATTTATGTCTAAAAGTAATGCACATATCTAGAGTTATTTATGGTTTCCCCAAAATAAACTCTTCTGTATCTAAGAAAATCATGAGACATGTGACATTGCTCTAATATTTTAATCTACTTGGGAAATCAGGTCACTCTGGTTGTAGCTTTTATAATCATTAAACATTTTAAACTTCATGCATATAAAGCCCTATTTATTAAAGTAGTGTCTTAAGGAACTTCTTTGAAGGAAAGTATTAGAGAATGAAAAATTTATTCTTTGTATTGATTACTAGTTTCCCCCCAAGGTTTAATCCTTTTTTTAAAATATATTTTATTGATTTTTTACAGAGAGAAAGGGAGAGAGATAGAGAGATAGAAACATTGATGAGAGAGAAACATCGACCAGCTGCCTCTTACACACCCCCTACCGGGGATGTGCCCGTAACCAACTTACATGCCCTTGACCAGAATCGAACCCAGGACCTTTCAGTCCACAGACGGCGCTCTACCACTGAGCCAAACCGGTTTTGGCCCAAGGTTTAATACTTTAAATGAGAATGGCATAAAGTTTTATGTTTCTCTCACACACAATACTAGCTAGCATGTGCATCTCACACACGTCATCAAAGAAAATTAACCAATTTAAATCACATTTCCTAGTCTTAGAAAAACTTATAATGCAGTGTAAATATATGTTTATTCAATATTGTAGAATTTTCCTCCAACCCATGTTTTAAATCCCTAAAATTTACTGCCTTTCTTTTTTCCAATTTTCAATTATTTTCCCACAAGAACCTTTTTTTCGAAGTCCTTTTCATATCATTGTGAATTTATTAAATAAAAAGTGAAAAAAATATTGATTCATTCTGGGGGATTTGTGGTTAGTTGATGAATTATACCCAAAGAGAATCAATTAGTAGAACATTTCATTCTATTAGGAATTCTCTAATGACAAGAAGAATTGATTTCTTGATTTATACTGTTTATTTTCCTCAGTGATTTAAGGCAATACAAATAATACATCCTTTTATAATGTGGAAATGATACAAAGATCATATAAATAGATAATATGATAATTTAGAGTTTTAATATTTAAAAGTATCTAAAAATTCTAAATCAATAGACTGGAAAAGAAACAATATGAATAAATGCAAATTCTTAATACAAGTAAAAGATGTAGAATTGGCCTAGAATTTCATGTCAGAAAGGCATGACATTTACTGAATCACAAATTCAACTAGCAAAATAGTTCTATGAATTATGATTACATTTATATGCTCTTACTTAAATTGAGGTTTATGCCAGTACTGTATCTCTCTACTGTCCAGTTCACTTTTAGAATTTCAACAATGTTATATGGGAAGGGTTGGGGCGGAGGTGGATAATATTTTAATGGTCAACCAAAAAGCTTGATTAGAAATGGTCAGAAAAAAACCCCAGATTATTTGCTCTAGAGGAAAGTAACACTACAGGTGACCTAGAAAGTAAGATGTTTACAACACAGGAGAATTCATAGATATTTTTCTTCCAAAAAAACCAAAAACATATATAGATATATATATAAAACAAAATTAAGGTAGCAACTATGGAAATGAAAATTTTAATTTGATTCAGGAATACCTCCCTCATTTTTATATTTGCTAAAGATATCAGAGGTCTTCTACAAAGGCTCAGTTACTAAAAATGGATAAGGAGAATACAGGAGTTATTTATCCACCATGGGGGAAGCTCAATTATATAACAGCTAATATTCCAAGCTTATGTCTTCATGTTCCATGAATGTTAAGTAATAAAGATATATAGGTATCACAAATACATAATAGACTACTATAGAGCTTATAATAATTCAATATATTCTTATAGATAATGACCACTAGCTGTTTAAATTAGAATTAATATTTTCTAAACAGTATATGCTCATTTCCTCCTTAGAATCATTTCACAAAAATATTTCTTGTAGTACAAAAAAATCAGCTGGATAAAGTTTAAATTTAATACTTGGTAAACTTGATGATGAAAGTTTACTTTGAAAGCAAATAACAATGTTATAGAAGCACTGTGTTCATTTACTAATTTTCTTTTGTTCAGCACTTTCCTTTTTTTTCCCCATTGCCAAATCCTATGGCTGGATAGTGTTTGAGAGGTGAGTTTAAGCTACCACAACCTAAGACTCAGAAGGGTTTGAGTTCACCAGAGCTCTAATGCAAGAATCACAGCTAGTAAGTGGCAAAGACATAATTTAATATTCTGGTCTTCTGAAAACAAATCACTATTTTCCACATATTAAGATTCACAACACCACAAACACACACATGCATGAATGCATGCATGCACACACACAACCTGACATATAAGCACACACAAAATTTAAACATATCATTTAATGCCCTATGTTTCTCCTTTAATATATATGGTAGACAACTTGAAATTAGTCTAGCCTGCCTAAATCTTTTACCGCTGGTTCTAATTACTACAAGGTTTTTTTTTTTTTTCATACTCTACTCACTATCATTTAACTTTCTGAAGTTAGAATTACTTGTGGAATAGAAAAACAGATTTAGAGACAGTGGCTTAAGATGATGTTTGGTGTCAGCCCAAACAATCCTGGGAGAAACAATACCTTAATAACAGATGTCTCCACTCTGGATGGGGGGCTCTGAACTTGCGCTGCCGCCGCCATGTTTGCAATGGTGCTGAGATGGTTCATCTGGCTCATTGCCATGGTGACAGATGCTGGAGGTAGGCTGACAGGAATTAGAGGGTGGGGCATCATCATAAAAGGAAGTTCCAGTCCTATAAAAAAATACACATATATCATCATTGCTTTAGTCAAATAAAACTATGAAACATGGCATGTACCATTTATTAAAATGGTTAAAAACATACATAGTTGAAGATTGAACCATTCAATAATGTCCTAATAATGACAGTCAAACAAGAAATATCGGTCCTCTTTGTATGTAACAAAACCCGCTTATCACTCAGGGAAATTAGGCTTACAGCTAACTAGTTTGCTGTCATGTTTTATCACATCACCACTCTTCATGTGTGCAGTACAAATGGCCACTTCTTTGCCAAATTATTCTTCTGACCAGCCTAATTCTTGCTTAAAATACTAGGGCTTCCTTTAACTGATCACAGTTAGTTTTCTAATGTAGTATGTTTCTATTATGTCCTATATATTTCATTTTCTTTGCAACTACCATTTTTAGTGCTAAAAATGCCATCATACCTGTTGGCAGAAGGTGGCCTTATTGAAGTTAGTGGAGAGGATGGCCAACCAGAAGGCATGCGTCCTTGGCATGCAGGGGTGGGTGACAGAAGCCTGAGATCTCTGGTGTGGGGAAGAGAACAGTGTTTCCTTACCCAGAGAACCATCATTTCTGCTCGTGGGGAATGAATATACATTCTTTGGATACAATATTATTCCAAATCTTCTAATGACTCACTTGAAATGAGGTCTTAAAAAGAATATTCCATTTTGGAGATTGGTTAAATTATTTCTTAGGAAATAAGCTAATTACCCCTGCAGCCTGTTTTCTTTCTGTTTTTCTAGTTCTTAGATAATTTCTCAATTTAAAAAAAATTTCTATAGCAGTTAGGTTATTTGCAGAGAATAATCCTGTTCAATTAACCATCTTAATGTAAAATGAGCTCTATTGTATGCCTAGAGAAATTGTTACTTCCTTGAAATGAAGCACACTGATAGTTATAGAATGCAAAGGTATCCTTGTAAACAATATCCTAGTTTCCATACAGAGTTAAAGGTCCTCACTTAATTCCACCACAAATGCTAAACATGGAACCATTAAATGCCCAACCTTGTTAGACAGAGTGGAGAGAACTCAAAAGATTGTTTTACGAAAGAAAATAATGTCAAAGCAATAAATTAAATATATGTGAATTAACAGATACATCATTTGCTTTCAACTTCCGAGAAATAAAAGTTTATGATTGTGTTAATATCAGTGCCAAAGTCAAAACACTACATTCAAGGGCTTGCATTTCAGTAGTAGTGGCCACATCATTTAAATTTTGATGTCACCAAATTAAATTATCTTAACACTAATTTATTGCTTAACTGAGTCTGTCGAATATATGAACTACTCACTTAAAAATGTTTTGTAATATCCCTGTCAGCTTATGAGATTTCCTTTCTTAAAAAAATGATACCATATTTTGATGTAAAATGCTTAGAAACTGCAAAATTGGTACAGCTCCAATTGAAATGCTTTAGCTCTATTAAAAGCTTCATTGTAAAATCTCTAGGACACAGTTTTTAATGAAGAATACTTAGTTACTGCCATGATTTTTTTCCATTTACTTCATGAAGACAGTTAAGGTTCAATATAAATTCAAACTCATTAGCTCAATACTGTCTGGATCTTAGAGTAAATTGTTCAGAAGTGGGTAATGAAAACTCAATTCAAGTTCTTCAGCAATCAAAGCAATTTTATTAAACAATGAAAAGAATCAATTAAATGTATATCGTTATTATCTTTATTATTTTATAAGAAACCTTGACAGCTTTTGGCATAAAAATAAGTTTAAAGCTTCTTAAGAAAATGACCCATAAAAGAATTCTTCCAGTTTACTCTTAGTCTGTGATGTAAATATTTACTTTTATATTCACAAATTTATGTATCCTATTTCTCTACTCATGACTTATTTGATAATTATATTAAGGTCCTAGTCAAATGTGCAAAAACTATAAATATGTGAATTTTTCAAATATATTATTGCAGGAGAATATTCAGTGACAAACATTTTAAACATTTCCACATTATATTGCCATTATGAAAGCATATGCAAATGTTTTTCATTGCATGAAGAAATGATGTTTACTTTTTATGTTATCAATTAATACAAGAAATGGGACATACTCACTATTTCGATATAGAAACAATACTGCAATAGATGATATTTGAATATGAGAACTGCATTGGAAATATATGATTAATAGTTAATTTTTTCTAATGTTATATTTCATTAAAATATCCAACAATGCAAGGATTATATTTTTATAATAGATTTGCTTATTTGAGTATAATTAATATATGGAGTAGAGAATGATATTCATATTTATTATTTTAGATTCAGTTTAAGTTCTGTTTGTAACTATTATCTACTATTTTTCTGTTTACTTGAACTAATTTCTTTTTTTATTTGAATTCTGATTGCCAGTTTATAAGTAGGAAAAGTCATTTTTTCAAATATATTTTAATTTCACTCATATATCAATAGAAAAGCAATATAAATCTACTTATTAACATTATCAAGGTGTAAAACATCAAGCTAAAATTCTGATTAAATCATCTTGAAAACAGGGTATAGGCAAAATACTATCTGTTTTCACGTCTATTTTGCATCATAGGACATCAGGCCCTTGTGTAAGGATACATATTAATTATCTATATATAAATTTTCCATAGCAAGTTCATAACACTAGATGGAATTTTCCCACTACATAAAATGCTGCTAGACATCTATACCAATCATCATTTGTTAAATACACATGATGTTAGCTCATTTAGGTAATAAATAGAGCAAACAATTAAGAAACTAAGTCTGATGAAAAATATACAATATGTAACTAAGTCAGCTGTGAGTGATTTCTGCATTATTTATAATACCCATCTCCTCTATTAGCATGAATAAATAAGAATTAAAAGTAGGCCACTTCAGAATAAGACATACCCACAGTTATTAAATGTATAACTTCAAGTGTCTTGGTTTAAGCCAATATATTTAGTGACATAAGCTATTATGCCTACATACAAAGATATAGGATATATATATATATATATATATATATATATATCTTTAAGATTAAGGTTTAATATTATGATCACATGAAATCTTGCATGAGATAGAAGATTCAATATACAAGAAACATTTCAGAAACAGAAAATAACTAATTTCTTGTCTTTGATTCTTATAAAATCATCCTGTATTTTTTACTTCATAATGGAATAAAAAGACAAAGTTCAGATAGCCTTAGTATGGCCTCAAAGAACATGTACTATAACAGGGTATTGGAGCATGTAATAATAATTTTAAAAAGCTCATAAAATGTAATAAAAATATATAATGGTTTGAGCCCAAGAAAATGGTCATCAGCTCATGAAAAGACTCAGAGACTGCATCCCCTTCTCTGATTTTTTAAATCTATAATCAGCTTTTAATGTTGAGGGGAAGTCACTAACAGGATATCCTATACTTGGTTCTACAAACAGATGTGGAGGAGCACTAGAACAGCCTTAGCTGGGCACCTGCTTAAACAGATGTAGGCAGGTGCACACTGCTGATAGCAGAACATGACAGCCAGCTTCTATATGATGAAATTAATGATTGTAAGCAGCAGCACCATGAGGGCAGCTACTAATGCTGTGGCATGATTTTTGGTGGGGTGATATTAACACATGTAGTGTCTTGCAGCAACCAGATGTAAGTAGGTATATGAATGCAAGAGATAAAATTGTAATTAAGACCAACTACCAATTTGATCTCTAGCTAAAAAGTCCCAATTATGCATTTACATTATCTGAAAAAAATTCATTACCCTGCCTAATTACACTGACATCATAGCAGCACAATTCATAATAGCTAAGATTTGGAAACAGCCTAAGTGCCCATCAGCAGATGAGTGGATTAGAAAACTGTGGTATATCTACACAATGGAATACTAGGCTGCTATAAAAATGAAGGAACTTTTACCATCCTTAACAGCATGGATGAACCTGGAGAGTATTATGCTAAGTTAAATAAACCAGTTGGAGAAAGATAAATATCACATGATCTCAATCATTTGTGGTATATAATGAACAACATAAACTGATGAACAAAAATGACAGAGACAGAGAAGCATTAAACAGACCATCAAACCTAAGAGGGAAGTCAGGGGAGGGAGAAAGAAGGTTAGAAATTAACCAAAAAAGGCTTGCATGCATGCATATAAGCATAAGCAATGGTCACAAACAAAGGGGGATAAGGGCATGTGCTGAGGGGGGAGGGGGCAATGAGGAGAAAAAGAGCTATAAGTAATACCTTAATAAAGAGAAAAGAAAAAAAAAAAAAGAACGTATCAATAAGCACATGTTCAAATATATGGGACTTATTTCCAAAAGTGATTTCATGGGCTTAGTTTTCATTTCATGTAAACAGATGTGTGTTCCTCAATGATTAACAAGGTGATTTAAATTTAGTTTAACTAAATTCAAGCTGTAAGGACAATGTATGGGAGAGAATTCTCTCTCCCTTAAACCCACAGAACTCCAAAATTAAAACATGGTTATAGGTTCTGAGAAAACAAAAAACATGATATACTATTTCTGTTTTTATTATTATTATTATTATTATTATTATCTCAGAGCATTTTCCTTGGCTCACCTCCAAGTCATATTTTTTGGTGTATTTTATGATGCATATTTTATGGTGGGACAGGATGCAAAGACAGTGAAGCTTTCGCTGCTCTAAGGGTAACCAGATACTGAACAGTCAGAACTGATAAGTTACAAATATAAATTTGTATTAATTTCCCTCCAATTATCACCTCTGTCACATTCCCTTTTCTGACTCTTAATAACCTTGAGCAGATTTTGCGTATTCTAGTTAACATTTATCTCTGCCTCAACATCCTATCAACACTGGCCAACACTTCAGCCTAGCTCTGCATCTGTCCTCTTCCTCCATTGCTTCTACTGGGTAGTGACATAAAGTCTCCTATCCGATCGGCACCTGCTCAAGTCTTCCCTGTACAGTCACTCCTATGGCTGTGCTAAATTTCTCCTATT